ATTCATCGCCCTGATGACGGAGGCAGTATGACCTCTGAAACGTTGGTTAACATCGACCAGACTACACAGCGCAATAACCCAGAAGACAGAAATCTTCATATTCACCGCTGTGAGAACCTCAAGTCTTACTTATGTAAAATTGTTAAAACGGATTATGTTTTGCAGAAGGTTTGTGATGGGATAAGAGAGAACAGTTGCTTGTACAGGGTGATTCAAAAGGTTGGGCCAAGCTGAAGGAGCGTATAGAGGGACTCAGAACAACTTTCGAATAGGAATCCATGTCCTCCGAAGTTATCCTGAGTCAGTCGAGGCCATTGAAGGTAGGGGCGTCTGATAACATACCGCTGAAATAATCGTACTTTGCTATTCTCCTACTAACTTAATTTTGTTTTTTATTAATTTACAAGGATTACATTAACAATCTTACAAACCAAATTATTTCAGCTGTATGTTATCAGACTTCTCTACCTTCAATGGCCTCGACTGACTCAGGATAACTTCGGAGGACATGGAATCCTATTCGAAAGTTGTTCTCTCTGAGTCCCTCTAAACGCTCCTTCAGTTTGGCCCTAACATTTTGAATCATCTTGTATAGTTGATGCAGTGTGTTTATAAACCCTAGTATTTTTTTTGGCTTTCTTCACATGCTGTTACAGCGGTGGCCTCAGCCATGATGCTGGTCATGGCCACCACCACCACAACCACCACCACCAACAGGGGACTGTGAACATTGCGTCCTCAGAGACCGCATCTTCGCGACCCGGCTGGAGCAGGACTCAACGCCTGGGAGCCAAGAGACTGGGGTCAGTGTGGCGACATGCCGCAGGGGAACATCTCGAACAGGTCCACAAGTCGCTTACCGAGGACTTTGACAAGGAGGAGAGTGTCATAGGTATGACAAAATTTTCCACTGTCGTCACATCTAACTCATTCACTTATTCATTGAGCCGTTCTTAAGAAGATAAAAGCTGGTCAACAAATTTCCCGCCTTTTATGAAACCTAAGCAAGATGAATCTCGATACCTTCATACAGAGTTTTAGACCTTTTTAAAATCATTTCCCAAGTGACCTCTTCATTTCAGGTCATCTCTATCTTACGTAGGTCTCGAGTTATTGGCGTTTGAAGAAGTTAAACACCAGCGTTACCTTACGTCTTACAGTTTCCGTCGAGTGTACCGTGATTTTATACACGTTATTCGACGTTAAAATGGATTAAACAGAGTATCTGTTGGAATAATATAGTAAGAACGCGCGTCTTATGAGAAAGTTGTTTTTACTGGTTGTGATTTGCGTTGCAGATGTACTGTCTAGTGCCCACGCTCTGTCCGTGGTGAATATTCTACACAATTCTTTGACGCTCTACAAACGAGTTGTGGGCAGCAAACAACAGTGTTCTCCCAGCCAGAGGTGAGCAGGTGAGACACAACACAAACACACACGTACACACACTTGTCTTCAGAGTGCACAGAACACATGCAGCATTGAACACAAAATGTTGTTCTTGTTTTAATTTGTTTCTTTTCTTTTCTTTTCTTTTCTTTAGCAAATGTTATTTGACACTTAATGATTGCATGAATTTGAAAGATGTATGAAGTTCTGGTACTGGAATTTTGAAAATATTTTATATTAGTTAGAAGCCTGGAGTGACTGATGAAAATTGTGAAATCGTCAGTGAGGTTAGCCAATATTTTCTTGGTCATCGTGCAGTCGGTGATGGAGCATAAGTAATTACTGATTACATGGCTTAAAATGTAAATTTCAATAAATTTTCAAATCTGATGGCTGATTGTATACCTGTTGTGTCATTATTGCAGATGGCGACACTGCAGCTACCACTGCTTGCAGATTCTGGCAGCCCGTGCACTGCTCTTCATGGCGGAAGGACCAGAAGTACAGACTCAGTTAGCTCAGGACCAGCAGTTGCGCATTTTGGCAGCGGCTCTGGACTCGACACATGACCCGGTGAGTGTGCTGGTATGAATCTTACAAACCAAATTATTTCAGCTGTATGTTATCAGACTTCTCTACCTTCAATGGCCTCGACTGACTCAGGATAACTTCGGAGGACATGGAATCCTATTCGAAAGTTGTTCTCTCTGAGTCCCTCTAAACGCTCCTTCAGTTTGGCCCTAACATTTTGAATCATCTTGTATAGTTGATGCAGTGTGTTTATAAACCCTAGTATTTTTTTTGGCTTTCTTCACATGCTGTTACAGCGGTGGCCTCAGCCATGATGCTGGTCATGGCCACCACCACCACAACCACCACCACCAACAGGGGACTGTGAACATTGCGTCCTCAGAGACCGCATCTTCGCGACCCGGCTGGAGCAGGACTCAACGCCTGGGAGCCAAGAGACTGGGGTCAGTGTGGCGACATGCCGCAGGGGAACATCTCGAACAGGTCCACAAGTCGCTTACCGAGGACTTTGACAAGGAGGAGAGTGTCATAGGTATGACAAAATTTTCCACTGTCGTCACATCTAACTCATTCACTTATTCATTGAGCCGTTCTTAAGAAGATAAAAGCTGGTCAACAAATTTCCCGCCTTTTATGAAACCTAAGCAAGATGAATCTCGATACCTTCATACAGAGTTTTAGACCTTTTTAAAATCATTTCCCAAGTGACCTCTTCATTTCAGGTCATCTCTATCTTACGTAGGTCTCGAGTTATTGGCGTTTGAAGAAGTTAAACACCAGCGTTACCTTACGTCTTACAGTTTCCGTCGAGTGTACCGTGATTTTATACACGTTATTCGACGTTAAAATGGATTAAACAGAGTATCTGTTGGAATAATATAGTAAGAACGCGCGTCTTATGAGAAAGTTGTTTTTACTGGTTGTGATTTGCGTTGCAGATGTACTGTCTAGTGCCCACGCTCTGTCCGTGGTGAATATTCTACACAATTCTTTGACGCTCTACAAACGAGTTGTGGGCAGCAAACAACAGTGTTCTCCCAGCCAGAGGTGAGCAGGTGAGACACAACACAAACACACACGTACACACACTTGTCTTCAGAGTGCACAGAACACATGCAGCATTGAACACAAAATGTTGTTCTTGTTTTAATTTGTTTCTTTTCTTTTCTTTTCTTTTCTTTTCTTTTCTTTAGCAAATGTTATTTGACACTTAATGATTGCATGAATTTGAAAGATGTATGAAGTTCTGGTACTGGAATTTTGAAAATATTTTATATTAGTTAGAAGCCTGGAGTGACTGATGAAAATTGTGAAATCGTCAGTGAGGTTAGCCAATATTTTCTTGGTCATCGTGCAGTCGGTGATGGAGCATAAGTAATTACTGATTACATGGCTTAAAATGTAAATTTCAATAAATTTTCAAATCTGATGGCTGATTGTATACCTGTTGTGTCATTATTGCAGATGGCGACACTGCAGCTACCACTGCTTGCAGATTCTGGCAGCCCGTGCACTGCTCTTCATGGCGGAAGGACCAGAAGTACAGACTCAGTTAGCTCAGGACCAGCAGTTGCGCATTTTGGCAGCGGCTCTGGACTCGACACATGACCCGGTGAGTGTGCTGGTATGACGTGTGTCAAAGGCACCTCGTAGCGACGTGCCTGACTGTGTTAAGTTTGTTGTTGGGTGTGTAGTGAACACAACTTTGTTGTTACTTGCTGCTAAATTCATTAGACCATTCGAAACAAACTTGAACTGAATTTAAAACTTCTCTTAACATGCTGCTTACTAGAAGCATTATTATTATTCAGATCGTTTGTGGGTTATATTTAATTTAATTCCTGTGTACTCTAGATTGGATAAAGCTGGCTAAGTATATGACTAAGTTGTATGATTTTTTAAACCTAGATTTGAACATTAGGCCCCCTTAAAATGTAGAAGTTTTTGAAAATTTGTTTGTTTATTTCATTTAATTTGCTATTTATGTTTGTTAAGTTTTCAAAAATTTTCATAATTTATGTTTGGCAGTGGACAGTGTGTAAGGACCCAATCATAAGAATGCTAAACCAGTGTCACCAACATTTAGAACTTAATAAAATTATACTTAGGTAATTACATTGCTACCACTCTCTATGAACATTCAAAATAAGAGACTTCTGATATTTAAAGTCTCCGTTTTCATAATTCCCTCTTCAAATCCACCTCCTGTTGCTTGTCTGTGGCAGCTAATTGTATATGTTTGACCTACTCTCTGCATCTGGACACTGCCTCCTCCATCTGCAACTTGAGGACAGGCCATGCTGCTATAAGTAACCCACATAACATGGAATGTAATACTCAAATTTCAGAAAATAAAGACGTCAAACAGCTTCGAAGAATACGATGCCAGACATTGCCTCAGACCTTCAGAGAATGATCACACAGATTGTTTTGCAGTACCACTCTTTTCCCACAGCAACTGCTGGTACTGGTGCTACAGATCGTGGCGACACTCGCTTTGGAACCGCAACACCACAAGGCCCTCGTCGAACAAGGCCTGCCCGATGTACTCAGTCAATTGCTGTTGCCATCCGACGAGTGGTACTACACCAATCATAGCACCAAATATGCGAGATTTGTTAAACATCACGCGGCCCGCACCCTCGTCTATCTCGGTCTCCAGCACCGCGTTAACCTCCGAATCAGCATCTACGACATACTTCAGGGTGAGATCTTGTGATTTAACCATATCGCCATCAGCTTAAGACTTATTACTATATTCCCATTGTTTCTTCACTGTTTGTCAAATGCAGATGTCAGATTAGTAGTTGGTCTACTGTATTGTCATGGAATGCGTACTTATGATTCTTGATAACTTAATCTACACTCGGAGTTAAACTTAACATAAAATAAATAAATACAATTTTGCATGAACTCCAAACAGACTGATATTTCTCAGTAATTAGTAGTCATTTCTGGCATTTTTTATAAGTAGGTGGAATAATATATTTTTTCCACTGTGCTGGCAGTTCTCCCTTATTAAAAATAGAATGGCATTCATAAAAGTCAGAACATAGTCTCTCACCTCTGGCTTAAATCAGTTCTTTGTGAATCTGATTTATATTTTGCAGTTTTTGAGTTTTCAACTTATTAGCAATTTCAGCTTCAGTAAAATGACACTTAGGCACTAACAGCTCAGAGGTTTGCTTCCTAACATTATTAACCCTATCTATCTATACAATCAGCACGTTTTGGTTAGTAACTTGATTTGTTGATGGTCATTAGCTGTTTAGTGGTATTGAGTCTTATGATAATATAATTTTATATATTTATATATTTCTGTTTGTAATTGGAAAAGGAGATGGACAGACATACATTTATCACGTTGATGGTGTTCCACAGAATTTTTTTTTCTTCAGAATAACTTCATTTAAAAACTTATAAAATTAGACACAAGTATTTTAAAGTCTATTTTGAAACTAACAGATATTTAGAAGCTGGTAAATCTGCATGTATCAGATTATGGTCCATTGTTCATGATGCTTATGCATTGATATTATAAGTTTTAATTGCCCCAGATTCAGTAGTGATCCCATAGTATCATTTGCTCTTGAATTTGGTTCTGATTTACAGATGAAGCACCTCCTCCTACTCCACTTATGGAATCTGAGGAGGACACGTACATAATCCTGACATCAGCGCCACCGAGCATGGTTGTATGCCAGGAAACTAACAGGATCTTAGGGCTGTCAGTTGAAGGCGCCATTATGCATGTACTTAAAGCTCTTGAGGTAGGATAATATCAAATGACATGACTTATTCATTTAGCAGCTACTTAGATAATTAGTAACTTAATAATTTTTAAGTCAGCATATTAGTCAGTCGATAAGGTTCTCAATTATTGCTTACCTACATGGAGTTTAGTCCTATTCTAACCTAACCCAACCTAACCCAACGTAACCTAACCTAACCTAATCCAACCTAACCCAACGTAACCTAACCTAACCTAACCTAATCCAACCTAACCTAA